TATTTATTTATTTTTCATTTTTCTTCCTATTTTTCTTTATTTTAAGGTTCCGTGATTGAGCTATAGCCTAAACTAAAAAGAAAGAAAAGAGGAACCTGTACTAATAACGTGGGTTAGATTAAGTGATAAGCGATTTGTTTTCTTAAGTTTAAGATTTTGTGAATGCAGCACCCGTTATGAGATTCAACTACTATTTTCAGGTACGCGATACGGTAACAGATTATTCGGCACGAAACACAGATCCCGGATGGGAAACCCCAAAAAAAAAAAAAAAAGGAACCTGCAAGAATAAATATATACTACAAATGAGCAAACGCTAAGAGATACTCGCATTCAATGGCTATCACCAATCTCCCAATTACTAACTCACTGGATACTGGAACTCCACTTCTAGATGACGCCGTTGATGGCTGCGTTGACTATAAAGGCCGCCCCGTTCACCGATCCAGCTCCGGCGGCTGGAGGTCGGTATCTTTCGTTATAGGTAAATGCTATCTCTCAATCATTCCGAGAATCAACGTTTTTTTGTTTTTTTAAAGCTAATTCCTTGTTCATGGACTTTGTGCAGGCGTTGAAGTTGCTGAGAGTTTTGCTCTAAATGGAATCATCTCCAATCTTATAACTTTCTTAACGGGACCGCTCGGTCAGTCCACCGCCACGGCGGCTGAAAACGTTAACGCTTGGTCGGGTGTGGTTTCACTACTTCCTCTTCTGGGAGCATTTATAGCCGATTCTTTCCTTGGCCGTTACCGCACCATTGTTGTTGCTTGTCTTATCTATATCATGGTTAGTTCCTTCCTTCTTTTTCATTTTCATTTTCTCCTTTCACTTGTTTCATTTTTGTGAATTTCACAAGTTAATTTATGGAAAAACTGGAATTACCAGAGTTCCTTATGTAAACCTTTGGAGACTAGACCGCCAGATTGAAGTTTGCCTAAGGGGGTTGTTTCTAGTAAGAACCTAGATTGCAAGTTGAAGATCTCAGCTTCCAACTTGAGAGTTGAGATGGGTGTTTAAGGATTTGGGAAAGGAAGGGCTATCTCTAGTAGTATAATCCAATATGTAGAAAAATAATTCAGGGTAATTTGTTGTTCAAGTTAAAGAAATTGATAATGGATTTTCAAGTTGACTTCTAGAAGTTTGAATTGATTTGTAATGGTGTGCAGGGACTAGGCTTGCTGACATTGTCAGCTACTATTCCTTTTGATGCCACTTCTGCCAGCCTAAGCAGCAATAATATGACATCATATTCATCACATTCATTCCAAGTAATCTTATTTTTCTTCTCACTATATCTAGTAGCACTTGCCAATGGTGGGTACAAACCATGCATTCAAGCGTTTGGTGCAGATCAGTTTGATGGAGAAGACCCAGAGGAGTGCATGGCCAAAAGTTCATTCTTCAATTGGTGGAATTTTTGTCTGTATGGTAGCACCTTAGTAGCCCTTTGGATCTTAAATTACATCCAAGACAACCTCGGTTGGGCTCTTGGATTTGGAATCTCCTGCATAGCAATGATAGTTGCGTTGATTGTTTTCCTGGTTGGAACAAATACTTACCGGTACAGTCACATAGGGAACAAGAAAAGCCCGATTATTAGAATATGTAGGGTATTCATTGTGGCAGCTAGGAACCGGCGAGCAATGTCTTCAGCAATAGTTACTAGAGAAGAAGCTTGTGGAACACTACCTAATGAAGGTTCCAAGCAATATGGGTAAGTGAAGTGTTTACGCACATTTTTTGCACTTAAATGAATCAATGTAAAAAATAAATCATGTCCTAAATTTATGGAAAACTTTTCTCTTGTTTGATAGCTTTGAGCTTTAAAATGTGTTTGATTCTTAGTTACTAGGATTGTAGGATTGCTCACCCCCACCCCCTAAAAAAAATGATGATGATGTGAACTACATACCGAGATTGCAGTGTATCTTGATCCAGTTTTTCCAACTTGTTGACCAAATTCCGTGGATCAAATCACAGAGAAAATATTTGAGCCCAAAAATTACTAGTCTAGGAGACTACCAACCCTTTAAATAATTGCCCCTGTTCTTTTTCCTGGAGTGGTAGTGCACTGTTAGATTTATGAATTTTTTGAAGATTTGGATTGTTGTTTGTTTAGAGTTGGTTTTTTAAACACTGGATTGCTTAATCATACTTGTAATGAATCTCATCTCTCTCTTTTTTTTCCTCTTTACTTTTATCATCTTTTTTATTTTTATAAAAATTAGTTTTCCATGCTTATTTATCAAAGCGAATTAAGAAAATACATTCAACTGTACCAGATCTTCAATAGCAATTTGACTATGCCTACCTCTATTGCACTATCATGTAAGTTCAAAATATTATCATCTGTTTGTCGCCCTTTCCATTACTGTAAAATTTAATAACAATGAACTTGGTAACACTGGGATTACCAGTGTTGTTCTATTGAGGTTAGAAGTTAGAAGTGGCTGACACTGGAAAACATGAATGTTAGTTGAATTGGTATTTCTAGTAAATGTCAATTGGTCATTAAAATTACCCAACATGTACTTACCCCTTATGAGAATTTAGCTTTTACCCTTAAGTAACTCTTTATTATTATGCCAAATGGAGTTCTTATCAAGCTACAGTCTCATATTAGTTTAGGTTCTTTCTTATCATCTCTTTCATGGAGATTTCTTATTCTTTTCTTCTTCCCTCTACTAAGTTGTAGAACTTATACTTTCTTTTGCAGTGGCAATGCAAACTTATAGTTATGAAAACCATCTTTTAATAATTTATACAATCTGAATGCTTCTAACAAGGCAATTTTGATCTTCTAATGTGGTAGATTCCTGAACAAGGCTTTGCTTGCACCTGATGGTTCCATGGAATCTGGGAAGGTTTGTACCACTGGGGAAGTTGAAGAGGCAAAGGCTATGCTGAGGCTTGTTCCAATATGGGCTACCTGCCTGATATTTGCTGTTGTTTATGGACAGTCATCAACTTTCTTTACCAAGCAAGGAGCTACCATGGATAGATCAATTACAATTGCATTTGAGATACCTTCTGCTTCACTTCAATCATTCATCAGCTTAACCATTGTTCTCTTCATTCCCATTTATGACTGGATTTTTGTTCCTTTAGCAAGAGCCATGACTGGGAAACCTGCTGGCATTACTTTACTGCAGAGAATTGGTACTGGGATGTTTTTGTCTGCCGTATCAATGGTGATTGCTGCTTTAGTGGAGATGCAGAGGCTTAAAATTGCCGAAGAATCTGGGCTGGTTGATATGCCAAATGGGACAGTTCCAATGAGCGTGTGGTGGTTGGTTCCTCAGTATGTCTTGCTTGGTATAGCGGATGTATTCACCCTCATTGGTCTTCAAGAGTTATTTTATGGTCAGGTCCCAATTGAATTAAGAAGTGTGGGTCTCTCACTCTACCTTAGTATTTTTGGTGTTGGAAGCTTTCTAAGTAGTTTTCTTGTCTCTTCCATTGACAAGGCAACTGGCATGGATGGTCACTATAGCTGGTTTGCTAATAATCTGAATCATGCACACCTTGATTATTTCTATTGGCTGCTTGCTGGACTCTGTATCGTAGAATTGGCTACTTTCATGTACGTTTCAAAATCGTACATTTATTATAGGGGACGTACATTGTAAATGTTGTCTTTTGGTTTTTCACCTTTTCTCATTACTTCTAACTAGTAAGCCATTCTTGGGGGGAGAATACAAGCAAGCA